TACAGTTCCCAGCCCTGACATACGGATTCGTGGCGATGCTTCTAGAATTTACTACTCAGCCCAGAAATCCTTTTTCCTTGTCTCTTCTTCACGAATACATTGCTCTTGGTCTGAAACTATAGAGAAGTCTTGCTCTGGATCTTCACTCTTTTGTATGGATTCTTGTGTACATATGAAATTATTAAAAATTTTAAAAATCTTTCCCTCTCTCCCCTGTGGTACTGGGGATGGAATATTTTTTCTCTTATTAGCAAGTATTTGTATTTATTTGATTCCTCGACCCAGCTGAAGACTTCACTGAAGATCTCAGAGGTGATTATTGGCTTACCTACATAAACAACAAAAACTATTCAGATGTTTAGCATTATATTTCTCATCGAGAGTCTGGGGAATCAAATGTGTTTTATACTTGTAGCACATTTCAATTTGGGCTCGCCATCACCCTGCTCCCAGATTCCTCCCTCCTCAGTTAGATAGCAAGGACTCAGATTCTATTCCTGTCTACATAGAACATCATCCATTATCACCTCTTTCCTTTTCACTAAAATATCTCATTGTTTTTTCTCACTCTAGGAAACCTTTTTCTTGACCTAGGAACTTCAGAGACTTATTTGAGCTGCTTCTTTTTCTGTTTTTGTTGTTGTTTGTTTGTTTGTTTTTGAGACAGGGTTTCTTTGTGTAACAGCTCTGGCTGTCCTGGAACTCACTCTGTAGAACAGGCTGGCCTTGAACCCACAGAGACCCTCCTGCTTCTGCCTCCTGAGTGCTGGGATTAAAGGTGTGGGTCACCACTACCTGGCTTGGACTTTTCAAACAAGATGATACTGGTTTTCTAGTTGCTGTCTAAAATCCCTTTCCTCCCTATCTCCCCTCCACCTGCCCCACCACGTTTTTCCTCCCAGCATCTTCAAGAAACACTGTTCAATTTTCCACATGGCCTGTTCTGGTTTCTCATCTTGCTGGATGGTTTAGCTGACCATCAACTATCTAGAAGACTTTCTTCCTCTGCCTGCTAGCACATCCTATCTTCCTTCCCTCCTGCTTCATGAGGCTCCCTCGCCTGACCTCTTCTATCACACAGAACTTAATATTGCGTCCACGTGCTTTTTACTTTCCTAATTCCCTCCTCCACAGAGTAACTTATAACTCCATGGCTTTAAATGCTTCATGTAAGTTCCACCCTCCAGTGATGTCTCCCTAGTCCAGCTTTGTACCCTGAACTTAACTGTTCATATCCTTTCCTTACCGTTCAAATGGGGCAGGGAGCTTGAAAACAGACCCATATTCTCTCAAGATTCAGAGATCCAGAAGGCTGTGATAAGGGGCTTTGGCATTGGATCCTTCCAGAGAAATTCTGAGGGGAAAGTTGATTTAGGCCTTTCCTCCAGATTCTGTGGCTGCCAGACACCCTTGTGGTACTTGATTCCTGTGTGTGTCCTTCCAGTCTCCGACCCTGCACGCCCTGACCTTCTTCCCATGTGTCTCTGCATACTGACACAGACCTGCTTAAAAGGATTCTTGATCCCTGGATTTAGAACCCATCCTAGTCCAGGAGGACCTCAAGTTAATTTCATTTATTATGTTATCCCTGCGTACAAATAAAGTCAGATTCTGAAGGTCCAGGTGGACACGAATTTGGAGGACACTCCCAAGCACACTGCTCAACATCATCAGTAATTGTCAAATAGACATTTCAAATGTCAGGACTGAAGCAATCTTGCCCATATTCTTCACCTCAATTGGCTATAACTCTGTCCCTCCATCAATATATCCTGTTGTCTCTGCTTTTGATCTGTATCCAAATCTGACCGCTTGTTACTGTTAGGACATGGTTCTGCAGCTTTAGGCCTCATCCCAGACTGAGGGAATCAGGCCACACTTCCCTGGAGCTCTCTCTGGGAAAGTTATCAAGGCGCCTGGGCTGTGGCCAACAACAGCTCCTGGTTTAGGGTCCTGTGCAGCACTGGTCTCTTCGATGTCCCCTGTCACATACATGATGCTGAACCAAATCACGTGATGTGAAACTTCCCACCACCACTAAAAGACCATAACACGTGAGATCTTTTCTTTCTCCCGGGTGCTGGTTCAGGGACTCTTCTGGGGATGCTGAACTGAAGATGGCTTTGAAGAGCCTCCTCTGCCCTATACCAAGGGAGGCAGTGTTCTCCTCCTCTTGCTCTCTCCCTTCCCACCCTCTCTCTTCCTCCCTACCTCTTGTTCTCTTATTCTCACCTCAATGAAGCCCCTCTCCGGGCTTCCCAGGGAAGCCCCCTTTTCTCTTCAAGTCTGGGCCGTGTTCAGATCCTCCCTGCATTAAGCTGTTTTTTTTTTTTTAAGATTTATTTATTTATTATGTATACAGAAGAAGGCACCAGATCTCATTACAGATGGCTGTGAGCCACCATGTGGGTGCTGGGACTTGAACTCAGGACCTCTGGAAGAGCAGTCGGTGCTCTTAACCTCTGAGCCATCTCTCCAGCCCGCATTATGCTGTTTTTAATACTCTCCCTCCCGTCATGATCATGGCCTCGGGGCTCTTTCGTTCTAATCAACCTCACCTCTGGAGGAAATTAATGAATTTTAAGTCAGCTTCCCTCCCAGGTCAACCCTCTGCTCTTATGCTTCCATTATATTTAACAGCTACTATCTGCACGGTTACACAGCGGTCGCCACCATCGATTATGCTCGCTCACCAGGATTATCGTAATATCTTCTTAATATGTGTCAGTATCTTGTTCCTATAATATATTCCACCAGCAAAGCCAGGGGAGACCGCGAACGCTCGGATGGCTGTCAGTTGTGTAGGAAATAGCAGAGTCCCTACAACATTATAAAGGCCACCTTGGCCACACTCACTGTTGACCTCATGGCCGCTTGCTCCAGCCATGTACACCAAACACGATCCTGAGCGTTCCAGGCATCCTTTGCCCCCAGAGCCCTTGAATACTGTTCTGCTTGTTTAGAATGTTCTATGAAAATGTCTATGTGGCTCACTCCCTCGTCTCTTAAATGTTCCTCAAGTGATCGACTTTACCATTTTCTTTTTGACTGCATCAAATCCTCCACCTCTCAGCCTTCTTCGCGTTGTTACTGCTCTCCACAAGATGTTAATTGTTTTTCCATCTAATATAACAACACATTGCTTTTTTGTCTCTCACTTTTACAATGGAATTTTGCAAGAACAGGAATTTTTTCTTCAGCTGTACATACACCTAGAACAGCGTCTGTGCGTGGTATATGTTCTATATTTAAGTACAATGATTATATTAGTATTAGGTACAAGTGGAGAACTACTTTCAAAGAATACAAATTTTTAGTTATTGGATTATTTTTGAAAGCATGCATATATATAAGGGGGTATGCACACATTCTGAGGAATCCAGAAGAGGGTGTCAGACCCCCTGGAGCTGAGTTACAAACAGTTGTAAGCTGCCCGATGCCGTTACTGACAACCAGACTGGGGCTTTTTTATTTGTTTGTTTTTGCAAGAGCGGTATGTGCCTTTAACCTCTGAGCCATCTCTCCAAGCCCCTACATAAAGATTTATTAAAAATCAACCCCAAAGAAGGGAACCCTAGACTTTCCTATTTACAAATTGAAAACTTCGGGGTGAACAAGGAAACACAAAGACTACTACAGCAGGTGTTCTAGAAAAGCCCCCCACTCTCCCTTGAAATAAAACCTTTGCACACTGTGGAATGCATAATGCCCCCAATGAAAATCCGAGTTCTAAGCCCTTTCCCCAGATCTGAAAACAAGCTTTGTCATGAGCACGTTTGCTGAAGTCTGCCTACGTGGCTCTATACTTTCCACACAGTGCTGATCTAAGTTGATATTAATTTGGAGGTTTACCCACCACTTCTAATATGCTGTCTGTGATTATGTTCAAAATTCCTGTTAGCTCCAAGATCCAAGTTTTAATTTTAAACGCCATTTTAAGTTAATGAATCAAAAAAAAAAAAAAAAATAGGAAAAGAATTTTGAGCTATGACTGGATTTTAAAAGTCAGTTTTCTTTCTTTTTGGGATTCTCTTAATGACATGAAATGATTCTGTTATATATAATCTTCTAAGGGATTTATATTAAAAAGCTTTTAGGTAATTAAGGACAATTTCTGACATTGTTTTTCAATCAGGAAAGATTTTTGACTGAAGCTGAGAACTGATTGAAGAGTTAGCTAGCTGATGGCGCTCAGACTGTCTGCTGCAGGCCAACCCAGAGCTCCCCGCCCCCCCCCCCCCCCCCCCCCCCGCTACGTTTTAGGGGCTGGGCTGGGCTGGGGTGACGACATGTATTAAAGGTTTGGTCCCTCAGGGGACATGGCATTTAAAGGATCAAAGGATCGTACCCCATGGGAGGCCCTTAGATTACCAAGATCAGAAGGGAATTATGAGATTCTGACCCTTTCCTCCTTGGCTTACGATGCTAGAGGCTTTGTTCCATCATGAATTTCTGCCACGGTGGAGTAAGATCTTCTGCCTCGCCAGAAGAATGAAGCAATGAGAACAATCAACCACAGACCGGAACCCCTATTTTAATTTGCTTCCTCGTGAAGAGTCAGTTATTTCAAGCATCTCCTTATAGTACCGGGCAGTGGACTGACAGACAGGAAGGACCGCTTGCTAACCTGTCTTTCATAGCACAGATGAAAAAGCTAAGACCTAGGAGCGGTCTGAGACTACTCTCCTTTTGTTTCCAATGCTGTGACAAAATGGGTTCTTTTGGCTCCGTTTGCCTGCAAAGACACCGTGTCCGGAGTCTGAAGCGGCTGCTCACACTGTGTGCAGCCAGGAAGCAGAGAGGGGAATGGAATGCTGGTGCTCGCCTCACTTTGCTTTTTATTCGGCAGCCCCCTGCCCACCAGTTCTTGTCATCCACGTTCAGGGTGGGTTTTCCCTCCTGCATTAAACCTTCCCGGAAACACCCTCATAGACACACTCAGGAGTATGTTTCCATGGTGATTCCAACTCCAGTCACATCGACAAGGAGCGTTCGTCATCCCTGCCTGTTGAGATGGTGGATTTACTGACTGACTTTAACACCGAACCAGCTTTCACTCCGGGCATGAACCCTATTTGGCCGATTGGATGATAAATTGCCTGTATCACTTAAGAAGCCCACAGGATGCCCAGGTTAAACACTGCTTCTTGCTCTGTCTGTGAAGATGTTCCCTGGTGAGTTAGGGTTTGAATATGTGGACTCCGCAGGATGGTCTGTCCTCTGCAAGGTGGACAGACATCCAATCTGTGGAGACCCAGAATAAAATAAAGGCAGAGGAAGGAGTGCCCCAACCCTTCCTGGCCCCTCCAGTGGTCTGTTTGCTCAAGTTGGTTAGAGTTCCCAGCACCTCTCCAAATAGCGTCCTGGGGAGGCCAGACCCCTGACAAAACCCTTTTTAGGAGTAAGTAGGCTTTAGATCCAAATATAACCATTGTTTGCCTTTTGCCCACTTTGACCTGTTTGTTTCTTAGTGAGAAGTTTGGGTTATGAGGTGAAACCTTTTTTTCTTTGTGAGTGGAGTACTTCCTGTCTTGATTCCACCCCTAGACCTGTGGTACCTGTATTCTACACTGTTTCCTTTCAAATAGATTTTACAGTTTAGATTGTGGTACCTGTATTCTACAATGTTTCCTTTTAAGTAGATTTTACAGTTTAGTTCCTCATAGTTTTAAGAGACATTTTTTTTTTTTTTTTTTTTTTTTTTTTTTTTT